CGCTAGTCTATACATAAATTTATAATTTTTTTTTTTGGAAAATCTTATTGAAATAAACATTATTATCGATACAGAGGCCGAATCTATAGTTTTTTGAATTTTTGTCTGTCTGTCTGTTTGTTTGTCTGTCTGTCTGTCTGTCTGTCTGTCTGTCTGTCTGTCTGTCTGTCTGTCTGTCTGTCTGTTACCGCATCACAGAAAAACCACTGGAGGGATTTTGATGAAATTTGGTATGTTGATAGTTGGTTATCCGGGTCAACATATAGGATACTTTTTACCTTGAGAAAATGTCTCACTTATGAGAAAAAATACAAAATCTAATCTGTAAAACCTAAGAATTTGTTTTTGGTCATCTGGACGCGGGCGGAGTCGCGGGCAATGCTAGTACAATGTATAAAAACATATTGTCGATATAACGGTCTTAAGGTACGTAGATAATGTATTGGATAACAATAATTTTAATAAGATTAAAAACAGTAAACGAAACATAAACTATAGGTACCCACCCATTATTAGCCTTTCACTAAAGAGCTTTCTTTCCCTATGGATTAAAAATTATTACACCAAAGGCTCGAATTTCAAAGCTGAAAAATTTAGATTGGTCCTGTTGATAATTCCTAGTAACATTATAAACATGTACACATATGTGCTTGTTGAATTGCACCTATCTTTCCCGAAAACGAAAATTACATCAGTCAAAAAATGACAGTGGTTTTAATTCAGGCATATTAAGTATTTTCCATGATATAAGATACCTACGTCTCTTAGAGTTTATTTAGGGATGCGTCTGACTAAGGTAAGGCCGTATAGTTAACCATTCAACGACAACACGATAAGATCATAACCATTAAAGTCCACTAGTTTATATTTTATGTTAGTCAATCGATAATTGAAATTTAACCTCCTTGTAATATAGCCAGTGCTGACTTTTTTGTATATATATGTATATATGTAAAGATGGTTCGTTATGAATCAAACTCCCTCGTAAAGCCTTAGCTCTACATAAACTAAACTGTGGATATCTATAATTATCGGCAACCCGCAAGATTAAAGTCTCCGAGTGATCCCTGAACAAATTGGCCAGCTAATGAGATAGTGAAGGGCGGAAGGGTGTCGGATTACATCTAAAATCTAAATGAATCAACCTTGCTTCGGGCTGAGTTAATACTAAATTATTGATTTAAAGTTGTTTTAATATGTTAAAATAGTTGATTTAATAAAAGGTAAAGGACTTCAAAATGTGTTCAAGCTATTGAATATATCGCATCATATACACAAAAAAACACACGGGCGATTAGAATACCAATTTTTTTTTGATGTCGGTAAAATAACATTGTAAGTAAGGGCTTGTGTAGTTTAAGTATTTTATATTTTAGTTTCGTGACCTAGATTCGTTCTTACAAAATAATAGTAGATGAGAAATAAAACTTAACTTTTAGTTCTATTCCAATCGTAAAAGAAATTCTGTTCTTAGAATCCACAAAGGATAGAAGTTAAAAGCTTAAAGAACGTTTCGACTGAAAGTTTAACGGTCGATAGAACTTATGGCTTGATGCAGTTATCTTTAAGCCTTGTACAAAGTACATGTATTATATACTCGGAAAATCTCATTCACATTGCGTTAAAATAACTTAAGCCCTATTTATAAATTTTAATGTGGTACAATTTTTTGCCCTTATTTTGTATTCACTTTATGTTCCTCTTATATTAGCAGTGCATGTATGTAATTTGTTGGTCAGTGCTATGTACACCTGTAAGAGACTAACTTACTAGAACTTGTGTATTAAGAATGAATTTAAAATGCATTTGTTATGTTGCTGGCGTTCTTAATAAATAAAAAAATAAAAATTTTTTAACAAAAAAATAAAAACCGACTTCAAACAAAAGCACTAAAAAGTAAAAAATAACTGATTGGTAGTTTTCATTTACTATACATACCTAATCAAATATTTTCGAAGTCGGTGTGCTTTGCCTTGTATGGGCTGGCACCGATTTCGAAAATATTTGATTAGGTATGTATTTAATAGGTAGGCTTTAATTACTTAGCCAAGCCTTTCAAACAAAACAAAAATTGTCCAAATCGGTTAATAAATGACGGAGTTCTGAGGTAACAAACATAAAAAAAAAAACATACAGTCGAATTGAGAACCTCCTCCTTATTGAAGTCGGTTGAAAAGAGTAAAGACTTTCGCTTTATTAAGAGATATTTTGTGAACTTTTGTTCTCAATCCTTTAGGACCTTTCTATTTTTTCCAGAAATAAAACATCTAAGAATGGATAAGGCCATTAAAATCGATACGTAAATTTTAGTAAGCAAAAAAACTCTCACTCTCACGAACTTTTTATTGTAACTACGAGTACCTATTGTGATGTTCTCCTAGCCGATTCCGGCTACGGCGGCCAATCTCATTGAGACTAGCCAACTCCGCAGGAGATATTATAGTGCACAAGTGTACGCGCAGACACTAGTGCACTCTCTATTCCTATCACTCTCATACTCCGGTGGGATAACCACTTGACACGACCGGTGAGAGTTAAGGCGCAGGACCGACGGCTTTACGTGCTCTCCGAGGCAACAGGTGGAACACCGCCAACTTCCCAACTCCGGGCTGTTACTGAGACTTACTATAAAGAAAGACTCAATAACTAAACTTGGCCCGACCCGGGACTCAAATCCAGGACCTCCGGGTGTGCAGCCGTACATGCTAGTCACTACACCACCGAGGCAGTTAAAGTACCTATTGTGTAGTAGGTATGACTTGTTGATTTGACTTTGTAAGGTAATTTTATGGCCTAATGAATTCCTATACATAAACATAATTTTTAATACAAAGTTTTATTGATAATATTTTAATAGCCTTATTTTTTTTATAGGTGAAATTTCTATTACATTCCATTTAAAAAAAAAAATGTAAAAAATGTACGTAGTTTAGCTACATCTATTATCTGTCACGTACAATGTATTCAAATAGCTTCTCATCCTATTTACATATATTTTTGTTATTGGAAATTTGAAAGCATGGGTTTTGTACGCTACCCACAATTTATTTCACTTTTAAATAAAACGCAACATAATTTTGGTTTTCTATTTCGGTGTAACAAACATTACTGAATTACTTTAACAGAGTCTGTTTTAGTATATCCTTCAGTACATCTATAGTGTTACTATTTACATCTACAATATTATTACAATTACTTTACATTAACTAAGACTAAACTAAAGATGCATCTTTAATACCACTAGTGCTCTGTATTAATGTCGTGTCACACTCAACAAACATATATTCCCGTATATCTAGTACTGAAAGCACTGAAGCAACTAAATTCTGAATGTCATCTAAACTAACCACTTACAGTTTGTTGTTATTTCATAGCTAAAATTCCGTCAGACGAGTGTGAATCGAGCAGAATACATAACTCTAAGAGGTGTACAATTCAAAGTCGTGTTAGTTATGTAGGTATATCATATATTTATAAGGTGAATGAAATACCATAGATCAATCGATATTGGAGAATAGGTATCAGTTCAAAAGTGGCATAACTTCAATTGACATACGATTCTCTTCATATCTTTATGTCACAAACATGTATTTATATGGTTATATACATATATATTGAAACTGTTTGTTACATTATATTATTATATTTGTCATATAAAATTATCTACGACAGATATAAGTAAAAATCAAAAGAAATTGATTTAAGTTATAGACAAAAATAAATAATTTAAATATTGTGCCTCTCTTACTCTGACGGCATGATTTGCGTAACCAATGTTACCATTGTGTCAGAAATTTACAAATTATAATTAGTTATTTGTAAAGCATAACATATATGAGTGCGTTAATTTTGAATTCGATTACTAACTTACGATATACAGAATAAGCATTTTAATTTTCCTATAGAGTTTTACTCTATGTTACAAACTAAGTGATTTTTAGTGTAAAATTTTGGCAATTAATATTTATGGGCTTTAATGTACATACCTAATTGAAAACAATTTCATAGTCGATAATAAATAAATAATAAATTGTATAGAAAAAAATACTTTAATTATAAGTTTTTTTTAATCTATTGGCAAATAATAGTGTCTTTTTTATTCTATTAGTTGTGTTTCTGCTATAACACATAATCATAGGTTATGATATATTTCGACAATTTTGAAAGAATTAGCTTTAGGTTTGTTATATTGCATAAATCCTTAGAGGTTTTGTGAAACAATTTTTTTATTATTATAACTTGGTATGCTCATATTCTCTATCATGATACCTCTTCCAATACAAAACGTTCTTCTAACGCTTTTCTAGAAAACAGAATTTACTTATACACATACAGTGACATAATATGAGCACCTATTACATATACTTATACAAATTATAATTACTTTGTTAATTATTTCTAATTGACACGTGGTTATTTATCGTACAATTTACAGGTTGGACATAAAATGCAAAATTAAAATATAAGCTGTTTGATATTTAAATCAGTTAAAATTATAATTGGATGCGGTAAAAATACATTTCTTGTGTAATTATTCATTTTTTTTAAATTGTATGATTGTTTTTATTTACTTTTATTTATTTCAATTAATTAGAATTTGCTAAGAAAGTTCTAGATAATAATAATAATGTCCAATACGATTATTATATCTGAAGTTATTTTACACTTAATTAAAAAATCAACAATATTAATTTAAATAAAAATGTAGTTGAAAGAGAAATTGCACTAAAGAATATTACATGCACGTTCTTTTAATATAGTATGAAGTATATAGTATCGTACAAACCATACACATTACTGTATACCAATTCTGTACACACACATTTAATCGCACAACGATTTCTTCATATAACACTTCCAGTGAAAAATTGTTTTGAACAAGTCACTAAGCACTTACATTAGTTTATCACACACATAAAATTCCAACACCATTTATTTATAATATAAAAAAATCGTCCTAGCTCAAGTTAGTAAAAATACCACGTAAAAAGTGATTATTACACCACACAAAGTCTTGAAAGGACACTTAAAATAAGTGAAGTAATAAAGTGATAAGAGGGGTGGTGCGCGTGTGAGGCGGCGGGCGCGGGCGTGGGCGGCGCCAGGCGGTTGGCGCGCACCACTTGCGACCGCCAGCGTATGGTGTAGATAGGTTGCTGGCGGGACAGTGCTACTAACCTGTACAATTTTATTTAATTAAGTATAATAAATTAAAAATTAATAAATATTATAAGACACTTTGGTACCATTTTTGTATTTTGAAAATTATTGTATAATTTTGTATATAGATGCTGTCTGTAATAATTATATAATGACTTTTGAGACGTCTAAAACATTAGTCTCCCGCGTGATCATGATTGCTATTGATTTTGCTTGTAAATGTGATGAACAAATCCAAAAATCAAATCCAAAAATGTAGTTTTTTTTAAAAGGTCAAATATTCGCGTAAATAAATCTAGGAAGTAAATCTAAGAAAGTATTATAACAGAATTTTAATCTATTAAATATTCATAACAGCAAGTATCTTTATATTAGCGACTTACCCTCGCTCGGATGTTTAACAGAAGCCTACATATGTACATATTTCTCTAGGTCTTAGTTTTCGTATGTAGTGTGTACATTCAAACCCGTATAGCACTTACTTCGCAAACGCCAAATTTTCGTAATTATATTATGGTAGCCCGAAACATAAAATTCCGGTGTGCGTATACTCGTATTTCTTCTCCCCCCTAACGTCTTTAATTTCGATATTTTTTTGTTAAGGTACTTATGATTCTCATTATAGTGTGACCCTTTTATGACGCTGTTGTTAAGATCTGGATTATTTTTTAATTTCTCGAACAAAAGAAATCTGTGGCGAAACGACGCCTGCCTACCGAGTTCGTTAGTGTTACAATAAAATTTCCTATTACATATGATAATCATAAGCAAATCCGAAACTTCATAATTTATAAAAAACCTCTTAAAGGAAGTGTAAAAATTTAAATAAGAATATAAATATATATAAGAAAAATTTAAGATTATATGAAATATGTCTATTATTACACTGTAATAATATAAAACCTTATTTATCAATAATATTATAATATGGTTTTATTATATAACTATTATGTAATAAAGTAGATACTATTATTACGCCCTTAGATGTAAAAAGTTTTAAGAGATGAAAGGCCACTACAACTAAGTTCATTAACAAAAAGTATATTTGTAAACATCGTTATTCGGTATTTAGCAGAGAAAATGTCATTTTGGAAACTCATCACGTGCTCACTCAGGCGTCCATCTAATATGTACAAAGGAAATAGATCTTTGCAATACTTACCTCTACAAAAGCATGCGCTTTTACGGATTTGGTACGGTCTGGTGACGTATTAGGGCTAAGGCCATTCATAAATAATTAAGTAAATAAGTGATGTAAGCAGTTCGCCTTTCCCTTCCAAATGCGAGTGTTGCAAGATTTTACAAATATATTTATAAAGAGGTAGCCAAGCTAGTACAGATGGATCAGTAAAACAATAAATATAATTAATTAACTACGTAAGTAAAATGTCAGAGACAAAAATATTTAAAGCTATATTCAAATATTTACATCTTCCAATAAACAAAATCGTAACTTTATAATATAATCTATGTGAATATAAGATTGTTATTCAATGCCAAAGACTGTATGTAAACCACTAAAAATATATTCTGGATAAAGTTGAAAAGAAAAATAGTAGTATTATATTACCTAATAACAACGGTGTTGAGTCGCCAAGGTAGAATAAAGGTGTGATTCTTATGTCTGGCGCAAAAGGTGTAAAGTAAATCGCCAGCGGACGCCGCCAGGCTGTCGCTCTGAGCGCTCATGCCCGACCATTCGTGAAGTGTAATATTCCAAGAGCTGCACGACTTATCCTACAGAATAAATGAAATGCAATTTTAAAATTCATTTTAAAGGTTAAATTTATTTGCATTTTTTATAACATAGCCAGTAGGCGAGAGCTTGCTAACAATATATTGCGGTTAGTTTATTAAAGAAAAATAATTTATTTCGAAATAAGAGAGCAAACATATTTTTTGTATGAAAGTGTTATACAATGTACATATATATACCTGTTCAGACGTGATGTCTATGTATAGCTGCCTTTCCACGTTGGAATCCAACACCCAAGTACATTGTTGATAGAAAAACTCATTTAAACTGCCGGTGACGGAGACATTTCTGGATGATATTTCCCCTAAGTAAGATAATTATATATGTAGCAAATTTCATTTATAAACCACGAGGCTCTTAGCGTTAAACGCTTCTGAGTTATAAAAAGAACTGTGAATCCACAAAACCGCAATAGCAGTCGCGTAATTGGAACATTACGATCTCGTTCAAGGTTTTTTTCATTTCCACGTTACCCCAAGCGGTGTGAAACTGGGTCGGTGCCACGTTATTTTCTCGGACACGCCCCGCACCACCGGGAACAATATCCAATGCGTTGTAGCAAACGTTCGAGACGCGTGACAAATTTGAATACAAACTTTGTGTTTCATCTAATAGTTTATCATAACAAAAACTTATTAAGGACTAGCGACTCACCCTTGCTTCGCTCGGGTTCGTCCCTAGGTACGTTTTAAATTAAAATGGACATAGTATGTTATCCTTAAGAGATAGACATATGCCATCGCGGACTTTTCTGTAGACCTATATAAGATACACAAGTCCACCATACATTATTTTGTTATATCTCAAAGGGTTTAGGCAGCGTTTTCGTTGAAAGCTCCCAGACGTCTTATTTTTTCCGACACGTCCAACAAATATCGTTATATTTTAGCCAATGTAAACAAAAACTTAACAAATTATATATTAAAACCTTCCTCTCGAATCACTCTATCTATTAAAAAAACCGCATCAAAATCCGATGCGTAGTTTTAAAGATTTAAGCATACCTATATCCCTAGATATGGGGACAGAGAAAGCGAGTTTGTTTTATACTATGTAATGATAATTTGTAAAAAATACACCATTTTAACTTACCAGAGTGCGTCGTGTACGTGCGTTGGCCACACATAGCGTCGTCGTTAAAACTATATGCGGCCGCATAATCAAACCCTCGACTGGCATATGTATAGTGTGCCACTGAGTACTCTAATCTCAGACTCGTCCAACTTCGCACTACTACTGGTAACCAAGCAGCCTGAGGTAATAAAATATTTTATAATTATGACATTAAAACATTTTTCCCCATCTAACTTTACCCAGAAAAATTACATCGTCTAATCCGGAGGTTTTTGGGAATCAATAACGCGCTCCGGTAACTTAATAAGTTGATTTTTTGCATACTTATAATAAAGAGTAAGGGACAGACCCTAACCTTTTCCTTTGGGAAATAGAGAATATTGGCTTTTAGAACAGCGTAATTTTGTAGGTAAAGGTTTTTTTACTACAATTTATATGAGAAAATATCTTTTTACATTTTCAGAAAGCTTCCTCTCCCTTTACGAAATAACAAGGATATCTACTGTGAAATTTGTTACCGTCTATACGCATTTATCGTTATATAGCCGCTAAGTAATTGAATTTTCAAGGGAGAGGGAAATGTGGGTTGTCACCGGGAGCACCTTCCCGCTTGTAATAACTGAGACGACCTGCACGATAGGTGAATCACCGATTATCAGTTCCCAAGTGAGCTCGAATGCATGCTCACTAAGAAGTAAATGATAAATGAATATACGATTAAATTATAAAATTTTAATTAATAACTAGCGACTTACTCTCGCTTTGCTCGGGTTCATCCCTAGGAATGTTTTAACGGACAGTATGGAATAGATAGACTAAATATTATATATACAAATACATAGGTACAAAATATACAATTCTGAACTTTTACATTTTCTAGCTGTTCTTTTGGGCTTTCCCTATTTTTTTATACTTAAACCACCCCTAACACACCCCCAAAAAGACAAAAAAATAATTATTCAAATCGGTCCAGAAGTTTTTGAGTTTTATCGAATCTAACGAACGGCAATTGGTTTTTATATATGTATATAGATACTTGTAATTATAAATATTAAAGCAATAAAATTAATATAATTTAGGCAATAATTTACAATATTAACATCATGTTTTACGTCCAGTTATTTCATTACAAATTTAATGTGCCAATGACTTTATAAATCACTCTTATACTTTCGAATAACTTCTCCAATTAGGTAGATCGAGTAACTTTGTTATCAGTTAATTGCTATTCAAATTCGGAAACACGTCTTGGAAATGTTAAAGAAATCAATGGTAACTTTGAACAAGGCCATGATGTTTAAACATGATTGAATCGAAACAGTTTACTTCTGACATCAAGTCATTGAATCTGCCAGTCTGAGTTTATGTTTACTAAACGTATGTACTCGTAATACGCATAATATGTAGAACATAGTAAATTATTTAGCGGTAAATTTGCTTTTATACAGAAGGTCTTTACGGTCGGATGGTTGCTCCGTGCTTTATTGCTATTACATAGTTAATGCTAACCCTCTTACTTAATTATGCGGATCGCGCCACATCCCGGACGCCAGTCAAGGAACGGCTGGTTCATCCGTAGGCGTGTTAGCACAAGACCCGAGTAACACGATTAATTTATTTGTTGCGCCTTTACGACGAAATTTGTGTTGGTATAAAGGCTAATGAAAAGCAATGAGAATTTAGGATATAATATTAAAACTAGCGACCCGCCCCGGCTTTGCCTAGATGTAAAGATACACACATACAAACATACAAATGTGTTTCATTGAAAATAAATTCCTAACGGAACGACTAGGGGTTGAAAGGTTTGTTGGAAAAATGATATTTTCGTGATCAAATTGACTTGAAACACATATATTCTCGCGTTTGTTTAACTCAACCCATTTAGGGACAAATGGTTAGATAAAAATAGTTTTGGGATGTATCAAATTCAAAAAATAAGTTGGTAGAGTCTAGTCTTAGTAGTAAGTAGATTAAGCTTTTATGTTTTTAATTTAGTCAATTCTGTTTAGAGCTTTATCTTAAGAAGTACAATCAAATTAAGCCGAGAAATAGTGTTATTTTTTCTCAATAATTAAAAAAAATATGTTATAAGATAATTAGAAATATTTTGACCTTAACGGCGGCTTGGGCAAGACGATATTATACAGGTTTTAATTATAATATGTTGCTACTAGAAAACTAAAGAATATAATATGATTCTTATATATATATATATATATATATATATATATATATATATATATATATAATAAAGAATCTAAGGAGGTTTATGTTATATATCTATTGATCTTCAATTTTGCCTCTACTAAAAAAACATAACAGGCCTTGTTGAATTGAGGAAAAATACCTCAAAATATTCTATAAGGAAATGTTCGCGTTAAAAAAGAATGGTAATTTATAGGTCACATAAAGAGGGCTGTGATTTGCTTAGCGATCGCTTCGATTTTTCTTTGTGTCAAGCAATTATCGTTAATTTTCCTGACGCCTGATTTTGTTATAAAAATAGAATATTACTTCTTTTACAGTAACAAAAGAACATTTTGCTTTGTAATTACGTTTAGGGTTTTGTTCATTTATGAAAAATTGCCGTTAACTATACATATGAATTGGGCATTGTATTGTAAATGTGTGAGAATAATATATACACATAGGTAAATATATCATACAAAAACTCTACAAAGAAAAGACAAAAATATTATTTAATTCAATAATATAGAATAAGTAAGCATATGAAATGTAAGTATAATCGAGTAAGTATCGAATTAGTGTTATGATTATTATTATTAATGAAAAATACCTGAAAATCACCACATAAACAAGACAAGTGTGTTCCGTCTCCCGCCACAAGAGCTATATGGTCGTGAAAATGTAGGGGCGTAGCGGACCGACACTCGCAGCCCGCATCACCGCAAGCAGTACGACATCCTCCTCGACCGGTGGCGACGCTACCTGTTGGCTCTGCACTCCACATGCGTTCTAAGCGTTGAATCTGAGTAAAAAGGACAGAAAAAGAAGTATTTCTAACTGAAATATACCTATACGATGAAAAGGTATAAGATTTTGTACAAAATATGATATTTTACTAACTACGCGTACGTCGGCGACCAGCTTCGCTCATACACATATACACAAAAATTGCTCATTTAAATAAAACTATCTTTTCGGATTATTTCGCGGATTTAATCAAACCAAAAATCAAAATAAATCCGCGAAATAATCCGAAAAGATAGTTTTATTTAAAAATGTCAAACGCGTAAATCTAAGAAAGTATTATTGCTCATTTAATATTAAACGATATTCATGAATATACTAAATGTTAATAATTTTGTTAAGTTAATAATTATTAAGTTCACGATTTCAGCCCCATATACACATATTACTGTCTCCAACTTCCATAGACGAAGACTTTTAGAAATAAGTCCACCTTTACGAATACTTATCTATGTGTGTATATCATTTGTGATACTCTTCTGGTTTAGTGAAAAATAGCTTGAATCCTTACTTCAATAGTGACGCTTTGGTTAGACGCGGGGATGAAACGATGTGTGCACATAAGTCGTTCTTCGATGTTCCAAAATATATGATGGTTTGAGGGTGCGGACACTCCACCATGAGAAGGCGCAGCTAGCCCATAATGAGTTGATGCACAAGTTGCATCCGGAGACACTGTACCTTCATGTTGCTCTAATAAGAAAGATAAGAGATACAATATTTAAAACTAATGAAAACTTTGATTAATTAATATCATTATAATTATATAATTACCATCATGAAATACAAATGCTCCATCCACGAATTCTTCTTCGTCTACGCTTTGTGACGTCGCTCTTCTTACCAATATAGTTAAATTAGAACCCTTAGAAGTAACTGCTTGCCTAACTAGAAATCTTCCAGCGGGGTCTCGTGCTTCCCTTACTGTTTGGCCACAAACTCGTAAAAGAGCTTTGTCGCCCCTCTCGAATCGGTCTCCCCTTTCACCCCTCCCACCGAACTCATGAAGTCCTTCTAAAATCTCAATATGAGATCTACAACTTTGTAATCTGGTGATGATAAAATATAAAAAAAATGCTATTTTTATTTGTATTAACGTACTTTACGATATTTGTAGAAGAAAAAATTGGATATTTTTGTAAATGTGATTTACATAATATATAAGGTAAAAATTGTATACAAAATATACGTTAGATAAGCATTAAGCCTAAGTTTAAAATACTAATCATTTTAAAATATTAAAATATCTGTACCTTAAATTATAATTAAAAAGGGACACTTGGACCACATCTGTAGGTGTTCCAAGCAAATGTATAGCACACTGCGATCGCCACGCCGTAGCTCTCGTGTCAAAGTGCCCTGAGCGGATCCCACCGACACCATAGCCACGTACAGTCGCCCCGCAACCAATATGCCCACCGTTATTATTTAATATCTCATTGGATACAGCGTCGCCGTCTGTTCCTGAAGTCCTATCACCTTAAGAAGTAACAGGTATATCATGTAAAATATTGCAATAAAAGCGTTTACAAAGAAAATACCAATAAAAATTCATCGAATCATTTGTCGTTTAAATGTATAATAATCGTAAATATGTAAATTTTAAATGATGTCCGTTTTTTTTTCTAGTCACGCTTTGCTGACGTGTTAACCCTCAATTTACCTTGTGAATACAAATCTCACAATTTAGACTAAAGAAGTCCATGGGATGCTTTTTAAAATATTTAATTTAATACAAGTGAACAGTGTTAAAATTGTTTATTTCGCTCAAGAATATTATTATAAGAATCTATTGTCATCACAGTTCATGGATATTAAGTATTTATTTATAACATAAAAATATTAATTTAAATTGTAATTCACTACTTGTACAAGGAAATTTTATTTGGATTTTTCGTTAAAATAAAACGATTTGAAACGGTTGGGTCTCCAAATAGAATATGGAGAACAGATACATAGGTTTTATGTAAACCTACCAACAGCACAGCCGTGAGTGTCGGATTTAGAGACTCAGTCTCGCTATCGGCACTTGCATATTATTTGAACCTTTTTCAAATGTTTGCCATTCAATAGCTGAAAATGAAAATATTCTTGTACTAACCTGGCAAATGCAAAGAAAGTTTCTTGTCATGTGTGAAGTGCGTTAGGGCAGCAAGAGGTGGGGATGCAGCCATTGTTGGCGGTGGACCACTTGTGTCAATTTTCTCCAAAAATTCCAATTTTGCTATAAAACCATTATAGTCGTATGGCGGTACGAGTGGTCCAGAACTGGATAACAAAAAAAACACATTAATTGAGAACATACATAAAAATATAAATTGGGAAAAATTGCTTTTTACATTTTCAATTGAAACTTACAAGCCCCAATAACAGGAACTGGTTCCAGTTAAAACTGTTTAATAAGAAAGTACGAATAAAGTTCCGTCATGCAATAAATAGTGGCAGTTCTGCAGCGCAAGTGGTTAAACCTCGCTACAAATTGGGTCAGACTATTGGAGTTGGAAAGAGATTGTATGTAATACCATGGAAACAATGTAATTTTAAGAGATTAAACTGAAATAATACTGACTTCATATCATGCCCTAAGGCTATAATTATAATAAAACAGTAGTATTAAATGCTTTAGAACAACGCAAATTAAAAGGTTATATAGGTATGTATACTTTTAGTGTTTTGGATTCACTATTTTATCTACAAATACGATGAATCATGAATATTTTATGAGTTTACCTACTGTATTCCAAATGAGATGTATGCGTAATAAAGTTCCGTTATAACTGTTACAAACCAATTACTATTCCAACGCATAATTATTGTATCTTGTTAGTATTTTGTGTGCAAGATTTACAAATTTACGTTAAGAATTATAACAGAGAGCAAAAAATGAATCGTTCCTCAACAATAGCTATTCTACTTTAGTGAATTCACCAAAATTATCTCATTGTCTGTAAAACGTTTAACCGACTTGACTCATTTCGTGAACAACTTTATAAAGCGCCACCCTTTGACGATACAGTGAATTGACGTCAATGAGATTCTGCTGAATCGAGCTTACTTGAATTCTAACAATAGATTTGGGCCGGGATGTTCCAATGTGGCGCTTCTCTCAGAACACAGCGTTGCAAGCACCGGAGCGGAGGGCGAGCTGCCAGCCCGCAAAGTTAAATAGTCCGTGGTGCAATTGCTGCAAAGAGGTGATAATTACCAATTGTCGAGAGTACTCTTTAACCACACCCCTACGCTATTTCAAACGCAATGAATAGAGCTCGGCATTTGATTCATAGCTTTTAATATAGAATGAATACGACGTGAGAATCACATTTTCTTCTAATTGGTGGTATATAATGATAGTTTAAGTTTCTCTAGGTAGCGCATCTCAATGCTGTATATTTGCTTACGAGTGAAGCGTCTTCATACAAATATCTAGGACACAGTTTGTCATTGAAAAAGTGTCACATAATATGGCTTGAGTAAAAAAACAAGATCTTGTTTTATATTTACGTTTTACATTAATTAAAAGCTATAGAAATATGATTTTTTTACATAAAAAATATTTAAATATTATAACCTTTTGTTTTTTAACATCTATTCAAATAAAACTGAGTACTGGTTCATCATACGTCAATACAAAAATTAGTAAGGAATTATTTTAAGCCTACACAAAAAGCTCTTACAAACAATATTTTAATTGAAACTTCAAATCTGAACTGAATTCTGATATTGAATTGTTTGTTTAATATATGATATAAAATTTTATTTATATTTTTGCTAAGTGTACTTGCAATTCAAAAATGCGAAGCTGTTTGTTAGTAAATAGAGGCTCTGGTAGTGGAGTATTAATTTGTAAATTCATTTACGAACATTGTCGTAAAATATAATAATTATTATGCCTGTAACTGGCACTGTCCAGTCTACTATACTAGATCGCAATTTTGATACCCAATATTCGTATATTCTCATGTATCTATGAAATGTATTACATTCAAAAATTAAAAAAAAAATACACCCTTTCATTTCATATCTTACATATTATTTTGCACTCCCATTTCGACCTCCATCCCCAAAATCCCAATATTACTCATTCTTTTATTTACGCTGTATGTAATTCTGTCATTAAATCATCTAACTCTATGTATGTTCTAATTTTAATGTTCAGTTAATTTGAAAAAACTAGAGCGTGATCAACGGACAGATGGGCTGACAGATGCACAAGTGATCCTATCCGGGTTCCATTTTCCTATTGAAGGACGGAACCCCTAAGAGATTTTATAACCACCGTTACATCTAAATTATTTTTTACTTATGACTACTGCAATATTCATTTGGTTTTGAAATATATTTTACTTCAGCTTATGCTTACAAAAGTTAAATTTTAATATTCGGAACGTTGATTTTGTCCACATAAATTTTAGTGAGACGTGTTCATAAGGGTGAAAGAGAGATATGTAGAGGTTCTTTATTTACACAGACATTGTTCAGCGGCCTTTCAACATACGAATGGATTTCATGCGGGCGGCTGATAAAAATACTTCCGCCGGAAACCACATAGTCGGTCCTTTCGAGGCTTTTTAACGATGCTTCCTTTATATTACCAAGAAAACCTTTGAAGTTGAACTTTTATAAATTTATATTTTTATTAAACAAAATAAGAAAAATAAAATATTTCATACTAGAATTTCCCGCGGCTCCGCCCGCATATGACCAAAAACCAAATTCTTAGATTTTACATATTAGTATACTCTTAATGCAATTTTTGTATTTTTTCTCAGAAATGAGATATTTTCCCGCGGTAAAAAGTATCCTATATGTTGACCCGGATAACCAGCTATCATCATACTAAATTTCATCAAAATCTGTCCAGTGGTTTTCTCGTGATGCGGTAACAGACAGACAGACAGACAAACAAATATTCTAAAAACTATAGATTCGGACTCAGTATCGATAATAATGTCTATTTCAATTAGATTTTCCAAAAAATATTTAATGTACAGATTCGACTTAGTTACAATTTTATTATATGTATATAGATTATGTTGTTATAAAATTATTTGAGAATGATTTTATAGTAAAAAATTAAACATAAATATTCAAGCGCGATTAGCGAAACAGTCAGCAGGGAAAATGTCGGATTTTCAATTGGAGCCACACCGAGCTAACAAGTAAGAGAATAACAAAGCCAACGTTATTCATTAACACTCTGAATATAATTATGGGTGTAAAATCAACAGCAGATTTTCATGCAACCTGCAGAATAATCGTCGGACGCTTTTGTTGGCTTTCGGAAGATTCTTTTTGTAATTCAATTCTATGGAATCTTTCATATTTTGAAGTTAAACTTCGTAATTTTACAAACACAAATTTAAGCAATTATAATTCTCACGTCACGTGATTTATGGTTTTAGTAAAGCTGTTTATATTTAAAGTTGCAAAAAATCGTTAAAAAAGTTTTTTTTATAAATAATTTTATAACATTCTCCAAATTTCTTTCCGATATTTTTTATTAAGCTAGTGTAAAAAGACAAAATTATTTAATTTTCAAAACACATACGCGTACCCAAAAAATATTATCATTTAATTACGTGAAAATCTGTGAAACTAATACAATTTTATATAGCCTAGTTAAAAAAATAGAAGGCCTAATTGAGATCTTCTTCAAAAACGGTAGAAAATAGCCTTCGACTTCGAAACTAAATGCTTCATAATATACATATTATGGCAATACTTACTCTTTAGGTAATAATATGGATGTGAAGATAATTTTGACACGTGTATGAACAGAGTTGGTAGCGAAGAGGTACCGACAGCGGCGATGTGGTGGATACAGGCCAGGGTAACCAGGACTCGCCAACACACAAGAACCAGCTCCACGACAAGATACATCTTGGTAAAGCCAGTCACAGTCTGATAGAAATAATGGTATAATATAATAATTTGTAGAGGTTTTTAAAGTAAGATATATATTATTACTATGGAAATCCTATCCTAAGAAATAACTAAAAAAAAGTTAAAAACTAATATGTTTCAATAAACTATGATTTATTTTTATATTTGTTTTATACTTTACCGTATAAGCTCTAAGCTTTTTGCTTTAGTATGATTGCAGTTAAACTTTTAAATGTAAAAATTTGGCCAACTAGAGTTGCCTCAAATAAATAATATAACTTTTATTCTAGAAATGAAAATATTACCAAAAACTTATATATCTCGGTTTTATTATTTACTTAGATGTTATTTCAACAAGAAAACATTATCGAGTTTCATTTCAATAAACCGATTTCATCTAACTAATCTAACTGCATCAGTAGTTGAAACTCCTCAACTTGTATGCTTTCATATCTTTCATAAAACGTGTTATGACAAATCCTTCTAATATTATAAACGCGAATGTTTGTAAGAATGTATGTATAGATGTATGTTTGTTACTCTTTCACGCAAAAACTACTGAATGGATTTTGATGAAACTTTGCAATAATATTGCTCATACATCAGAATAACACATAGGTTACTTTTTATCCCGGAAAAAAGTACGGTTCCCGTGGGTTAGATTTATTTTTGTTTTACTTGATACTACATATTTTTTGTACTAAATATTTTTAACTAAAGAAATAAATAATTAGGTGAACAAAGTAGCAAGATTGATGTTAACGTTTTTAATGTTGTTAATGGATAGCTTAAGTGATTAATATTTTTAATTCATGTATAATAAAATCCATCGATATCACATCGCATCGACTCTACAAATAGATTAAAAGAAATAAATATAATTAAAATTAATCGTTTCAATAAGCCACTAACCCAGTTTGGTGGATATATATTAGATAAGTCATTGCCACGATCAGTTTGAGATTGATAAGGGTCTGGAAGTATTATTCATTTTGTGAAAAAAATATGACTTGTGCCAGTCGACCTTAGAAAATCTCATCATAAAAGTAATAACTTTAAGAAATGATCTTTAATTTATAAAGTTATTTTTATGATAATAGAAATTTTGATTGAAGATTAATTTGATTGAAAAATCGATCTGTCGTGTAGTACATGAAAAAAGTTAGTTATCTATATTTATTTCTGACTAGCGGCTGACCCTCGCTATGCTCGGGTTACTCGCGTCGTAGGTACGTTTTAAATAGATATAAATAGTTATTAGCCAGCGTTAGCCATATAAATTTTTTTTTCGTTATTTTTTCATTTTTTCTCTTTATTAAAACTTTCCGTGGACCTTAAGGAACATATGAAAAAAAATTTTTGCTGAATTGGTCCAGCCATTCTTGAGTTTGCGCTTACCAACATTCATTTTTATTTATATATATAAGATATAAAATAGAAAATAGATTTTACGTACGAACTACGGACTTAAAATAAGCTAATCATATATTCCACTTTAAACTCTTGTAATTACATACATATGTAGTAAACCCTTTTGCTTTATAATATATGTAAATTTTATGCAGAGGTACAGATTCTAGGGCGGTGTATTCAAATAAGGTCATGAATAGTCCGAGACTAACTAATAAGTTTACGGTTTCCAAGTAATATATCCAACATAAGCTTCTATGAATTACTTAACTAAATTTCTAACAATTTACAACAATATGAAAAAGCATTTCTAGCAAAACCATCTAAATAAAAGAGCAAGACAAGTACGATTGACAAAATCAAATATGTTAGAGAATCGAAACAGCCAGACCGTAACAGAACGCGAACTAACGTATAAAGACTTTAAAAGGAGTATCTGAACACTGAACGTGGCAAAAATGCATGCTTTCAACTTAGTGAAAACAATTTTCCGTATTCGAGCTGGCGAGACTGTCACATCATCATGTGCAATTTCAGTGTTCAGTGCTCACGTCGAGGATAAAATATAACTCCAGTATCTAAGAGCATCATTATAGAAATAATAAATGGAATTTGTTATAAGCGCGTAGTTTCAGTATCAAGATACTTGTACGTTTTACAAACATATTACGTAAGGTAATAGCTTACGTTTGATCTTTTTGATGAGAATTTCCTTTACATTTTCATTGACATAGCATTATAAGAGACATGCTTAAACGTGCTGTGCTATATATACTCAGTTATGTTCATCATTTATTACACTTCTATAAGGAGTTTAATTATTTCTTGAAAGTTTTGTTTTTGATAGGTAATAAAGTAATTTTGAAATATATTTAAATACTAGCGACTCTCCCTCACTTCGCTTGGGTTCGTCTCTAGGTGATTCCTTAAATTGATATAACTTTTTTATTCAAGAAGCGATTGAAATAGAACATACAATAATAATAAATAATATAATATATATAAATATATAACTATATATAAATCAATGAATACCGCACCCAAATCGGTCCTGTCGTTTCTGAGAGTCGTTTCGTGCACAAACGCACAGACAAACAGACCAAAAATGCTAAAAATCATTTTTTTGAGTTCTATTGCATTAATGAATAATAGTTTTTTTGAAATATATTCCATGTACAGACAGCGATCAGTTACACTTTTATTATACATATAATGTATAGATAAAAACGAATAATTGCATTAATCCTCCAAATCCATATTCGCTCACAGAAGATGTCAAATATATTGAAATAAATATACTTATATTGAGGGTCCTTTTATTTATCTAAACGTCTTGGTATAAAGGAGACGGATAAATAGCCCTTCAAAACTTTGTTTGTACGCTAACAAAAGAAAGAATTCTGAAAAATATTATATACCAGCTGTGGTACTTATTGCATTGTTGAAAGAACAGGTAAATACGACCTCGTGTTATTACGTTAAATATTTTTTTAAGAATTCAAACCTGTAAAATATTTTCTTATGAATTACGTGATATTTAAAATTAAGCCATAAAAACATATAGAGAAATGTAAAATGCTTGTTTAAACAAGCACCACACAAAATCTTATTCAACATTCAACAAGAAACAAAAAATACGAGTACACCAACTGAAAGGCGATTGATAAAAATATTTGAGTGTGTTTTTAATTTCTTACCGGTTTGTGGAATTCTTGATCCTCCTCTTGGGTGAAAACCCACGCCTTGTGTATTACTTAAAGATGTGAAGCTGAAGAAGGCGAGAAACTGAGACCTTACGGTTTTCTCCGTTATCCTGCGAATGAAACGAAAGGTTACAAACTCCGTCATAAACGTAGCTCACGCTTAAAATATAAATATTTTATTAAGACACACTCGACTTAATTAGTAGTAGTAGACTCATGACGTTCAGTAAAGAATTGTAATAATTTAATGCTGAATAAAATATTTTGAAGTTTGAAGTTTAGTGGTATTTTCACTCATAAGTCATACAGTTATGATATAACAGCACTATAGAAATACAACTAATTCCACCTCGCCCTCTAGGACATTACAACGTGATTGAACAATAGTGCAAATCAATCAGTATCCCCAAAAGGATAGAGTTTCGCAGAGTGCCGTAGGTCACAAATACAATTTCACTTTTGTTAGAAAGCCACAATTCTGAGCCGGTCAGATCCCTGTTTCGGTGTATGGAAAATGTTTACTAACTTAAGTTTGTTAAACTTCGAAGTTTGAAAGCAATTGAAACATTGTCCAACAGAATCCTTATGTTTTGTTATGGAGAAATTGTTTCACTTCAAATATCGTATAAAAATTAGGAGATAAAGTAAATTCTATAAAAATAACTTGAATGAATTATTATAAATTACTTGATGTAAGTCTCATTTAAGATATATATTGGTCTATTGGATTATCGTTCATTTACGAAGGTATAGCAGAACGAAACTACTAACTTCTTAGCATAGGAACTGCTAATAGGGTAGAGAGATACTAATATTTAAACCAGAAGATAAAATACATTATTTTATACTAGCGACTCACCCTCGCTTTGCTTAGGTACATTTTAATAGATAGTATGGAATAGACTATAATATATCGTCCCGTTTCTGTGTAAACCTCGTATCTACAAAATCTTAATTTTCAGTAAATCGATAAAAACGTTTAGAGTTACTTAATTTTCATAAAAAGTTATAACTAATTTAAAATTTATACTCTTTATTTATCACCTTAAAATAATTAAACATCATTTTTGCTATCTGCATCGATACCTTGTTGTTATTATCAATTTAACGTAGATACGAGTTTTTTCATCAAATACCCTGGTAACTTTTTTGCAGATACGAGGTTTTGAAATTAATTTTTTTTTTCTATAAGATCATTGGCGAAAATTTTTTTTATGCAAGGCTTTCACATTCAATTCATTATTATTTTATATTTATTAATTAAAACAAATTCATTTGATTTTGATTTAATGTGTTATAAATCATATGATTACTATTTATAATATGATTTAATTAGTTTTTTCAAATATGTTTACAATTTATGGAATAATGTACAAATTAACAGCAGGATAATCTGAAAAATAAGTAATAAGAAATAACTTGAACAATAATTTTATTTCTTATTTACTTGATGTGAATTAAAAATTCAATAAATGATTTTTATTTAAAAAAGAAATTTTAAGTATATAAATAAATAATACTTACTTATGGTTTATATTAATAGTTATATGTATTCATATGAATAAAAAATAAATGTCAATCAACAAAATACAGTCAACTTAAGTGTGAACATGTTTACAAACATTCAGTAATAAGACAACAACGCCATCTTAACGTTTTCAGCGATACTTACGGTAGATACGAGGTTTTTGAATTCGAACATGTAGATACGAGAAAAATCAAAAGCCTCTAAAAAAATATCTATCAACATTATGAACATTGCATGTTTTGTTTTACGTTACAAGAGTTTAGAGTGCTAAGGAGTGATTTTCGCTAAAAATCTCGATTTCGAAAAAAATGGTCTTACGAGGTTTACACAGAAAGGGGACGATATGTATGTATATACATACATACATAAGTATAGAAAAGTAGATAAGTACTTTAAAAAATAAAAAACTACCCCCGTTTTCATCCCCTTAAGGGATGATTTCCGGGATAAAATTTTAGTGCCATCTATCGTCGTTTAAGGAAAACAATAATATGTAAAAAATATGGCAATATGACAATAATGGATTGTATTATAACGTGTTTTCCCGTGGGAATGAGATAATTTTCCGGGGTAAAAAGTAGCCTATGTCACTCTCCAGCCATACTCACGGCAATCCTACTCTCTGTTTCGACGTGAAAAGAGGACAAACAAACATTAATAATATAAGTATGGACACCATTATATATATGTAGCGTTACCTTATAGTAAATGTGTACTAAATTACAACTAAATTCGTTCAGCTGTCTAAGCATAAGTAATAAATATATATACATATGTGTATATATATATATATATATATACTTTTTATTTATAATCGTTGTATAATATTAACATATATAAGGAAAATCCCTACAGGAGAGATAAATGTTAGAGCTATAAAATCACGAGCAAAGTTCGCTTTCTAACTTGGCTTCACGTCAGTCACACACGATATTATAGCTGTTCATCAAACTGGCGTACGTCACTTAGATATAATATTATTCATTTCAGTAATGCTCATTCGTGCATGTCCCGCTTCAATTTATAAGCGAAAATGCAATTAACTACATATATATATATATATAGTATGATGACCCTACCGCAGAGCAGTAGACATAGGCATGTCCGGATTAGGCAAAACCACGCCGTTTTTGATATCGATATATCGATGCTCGTTCCTAGATGCGTTGTAAAGGTTACAATGGAATAGATAGATTACATATTATATTATTGCTCCGCTATCTTGGGCACTAGCATGATGATATATAGACTAAAGCTTTCCTTAATAAACGGGCTATCCAGTGCAAAAGGAATTTTTCAAATCGGATTAGTGTTTCCTAAAATACGCAGTTTCAAACAAACTCTGTCCATTATAATATTATGTATAGATACACTTACATTAACATAACATCGATTATTTTGATGTGTGCTCTGTATCTATACTTATTTTTTTTGTGCGTTATACATAGTCTTGCCCTAAATATTGTTACAAAGAAAAAAATATTTTTTCTATTGCACGTAACATTTATTACTATTACAGTGTGTTAGTTTAATACATTAATATAAAAACATTAAAAATATATAAAGCTTATTCGAAGTGGTCTCCATTGGCTGCAATACAGTCCCTTAAACGTTGAAGCCAGTTATCAATAGAAGCACGCACTCTTTCCATGGGAAAATTCTTCACTGCTGTTGATGTTTTGTTACTCTTACACACGGAAATTTAAAATTAACTGTTCTTGTCTAAATTTCGAAACTTGTAGTAATTTCGATGCCTCTCTGGAAATGTTTTGTTTCTCTCTTACACACGGCAATGTCACGTGTTGTCAATTGTCTTAGGATGTATTTTAAGCATACTTTAGACACGGTAATGTTACACACAGTATTCCATCTTCATACAAACGGTCGGAAATCGAGTTATAGCTACGCGCGCCGCGTTCGATATACACTCGGTAGACAACCGTGCGGGGCTGCCAAATGGTGGTTTTGTTATGTAACTTTTATAATTTGATACAAAAATAAACATTTTATTCCTCCCGTAACTTCGCTAATGTCAATTGAAAAAGTATCCAGACATCGTATGTTTAAAAAAAAGTATTTTTAATTAAACTTTTTATCCGAATGCGGATTCTTTATACTATTAAATTTAACAATAAAGCTTTCGTACGACTCAGTCCACCCTTATAAATTTGAGATTTTTTAATTAAATCTACTAATAATAGTTTTTAAATAAAAAATATAATATTTGAAATCACAAACTTAGAAAGAAACTCAAGTAGGTAGACGAAATTAATATACTGGCCGGCGGGCACTCGGGCAGCCCTGTCGCGTGGGTACGTGCCGCTCGGCTGTAGGTAATTATTTCAAGCACAGGCCCGAGTTGCAATACTGTATGCATTACATTACCGTGCTTTAGACGTGTCTTTTTAATTATTATTTTTGGTGTAATTAAGTTACCCTACGCAATAATAAAATCAATTTAAAGATAAAATTACTTAGAGAATCTATAAAAAATGAGTAAGTATCGTATTACAGCACTAGCTATTATGCAAAGTAAAAGTTTTACTAATATGTCAATAGGAAGTTAATTAATAAGAAAAAAAAACTTTAATTAGTGTTCTGTGTTTTCTTGAAACATTACTGTGCCTAGGCTTTGACCGTTTGCTCATTAGCGCTACAATAATTACTTTGCTTGTGACCACAAAAACGGCTTTAAACGTTTAACAACATCCATTATATCCAATGCATGTATGCTAAACAACTTGCTTGTGCTTCTCTCCTAATGACTTTGTGCAGTACTATATTATACCGCAGTTTAAGTGAAACATTCTCTATTATACACTATTTTTTTCTTATAAACAGTGTATCGAGGTATGTCTATACATATAACAATATTGTAACTGATCGTTGTCTGTACATGGCAGATATTTGAAAAAAACTATTATTGGGAGAACTTTATTAACGCAATAGAACCCAAAAACAATGATTTTTTGAATTTTTGTCTGTTTATCTGTCTGTTTGTTTGTTTGACTGTGCGTTTGTGCGCGCTTATCTTAGAAACGGCTTAACCAATTCGGACGCGGTTTTCACTACTGTATTGTGGTAAGCTTCACGTAACATCTAATATTTGTTTTATTTCAATAAGTTTATAAACAAAAAAGTTATATCAATTGAAAGAGTCACCTTGGGAAGAACCCAAGAGAAGCGAGGGTGAGTCGCTAATGTATATATATAGTATTTGTTTTATCCTGTAGGGGTATCAAGTTTTAATTCAATTTTCTTGTTAAGTCACGTTTAATCCAAATTCTAAAAGTATTTATCAACAACAGATAATGACATCACGCTGTCAAAGTGATACTGTTTCATTGTCTAACTTTATTATCTAACTAGCTTTTCTCTGGAACTACGGATATCGAACTAGCAATGTTTATCTTTGCAAGTGACTATGGCCTTGTTTTACCTTATTATTGTTTTACCTACCTAAAATCAAGCACGGAAGCTCCATGATCAGCAAAAAGCACGACAGGGGGTGTATATCGTTCGTTCGCGCCACACAATCTCGTCTCCGCAGCTCGACTGGCACCAGGTACTGCGCCCGCGTCGCTCAATTGCAACCACCCACCTACACAGCTAAATAAAAGAAATACAAAATCATTGTGCTTCCACAGATATGAAAATAAATCTAATATTCAATGTGTGTTTTTACAAAGAAGCAAGAGTTAAATTATGTGTTATAATAAAGTAAGTGAAAAAAAGGTGTTTAAAATTGCGATCAGAGTCTATGTAAAAAATATTCAACATCACAAACTGAACACGTGTATATTGTTGTTTCAAATCTCAGGTATACTTAACAAAGCAATTGCCTGAATACGTGGCTGAAGGTGGCATTGTTACAAAGCGTGACGACGGCTTTTCAGTAAGGATGTATATAAGAATCTATGTACATAATGGTTTTGGCTTCTATTATGACTACAATTTGTTTATTATTTTACAGTGTAAAGGTAGGAAGACTTATATTGCGAAATTTAAATTAAAACGAAATATTTTTGCTAAGGTCGCACTCAGTTGTAACTAGTGACTTATCGTCGTTTTGCTCATGTGTGTGTGCTTTTTGTATTTCTAATATTATGTATGTACAGATAGCACCATATTTTGAGAAACTTTTATTACTCATTTATTTGAATTGTAGCTCATGAATATATACTCACTATACACACTAATAATACTAGAATATATACACTAATAATACTCTAGTCTATCTGTGTACTAAATTTCATCCAAATTCGTCCAGTTGTTTTAGGGCGAAGGAGTGACAAACATACACAAACATATAAAATCACGTATTTATATAGTGGTGTCAAAGAAAATGACAATATGCCTGATGATTATTATGATAAGAAATGAAACGATAATTTTCATTTATGACACATTATTGTAAATAACAAATTTGTATGTATGTTAACAGCGAGGCATGTAAAAAAGTTAAATGAATGTATCATTTCTTTATATAAGGGGAGGAAAATAATGTAAATAATAATGATATGAATGAATACCAATAATTTATGTGAAAGATAAGTTAAATTTCGTCAGGTACTTTGAAAATGTGGTAGATCAAGTATAACAACATTCATGATTATTAAAAATAAATAGGGCATAACGCTAAAAAAACCCAGAATTCTTCGTATTTTATTGTACTGAATTTCGAACTGTTGGTTTATTATAATTTAACGCTTTAAGGTGTATATATAACATAGTTAAAAAACATATTTTGATCAATTGTAAATATATCATGCTTTTTTAAAACGAATTAAATGCTTATTTGAGGTTTTAGTCGTAGCCGATAAAGATTTCAGCATCAAACGACTGGTTTCAAATTAACACAACAATAACTATAAATTATTTCTTAGTTTAGATCATATATATATATATATATATAATTATTATACAAGAATATGGAGCGAAAGTAATATAAGAAGCATGCAATACCTTGTTCCATTAAATCTTCCAACTGACACCAGCCTGTAGAGTTGTATTTCCACTCGTTGTCCAGCGTCTGGTTGTAAAATGTATGAGCAGGTTCCAGGCCCCTCAAAAGATGGAGACTTGATTTGACCAAAAGTTTTGCCAGATTTATTCTTAAGCACGCGCGAGTCGATAGTAATGTTGCACACTGTCATAATAATAAAGAAATTAAAAAGGTTTAAAACACAATTTAACTTGTTTTCATTTGTCTGTCAATAATATATATACTGACGACTTAATATAGAAACTATACTCGTACTTTCTATGACTCTAAACATGTTGGGATCATTTGCCTAAACAAAATCACTATACTTTTATTAGGCTAAATATCTTTTGACAATCTCTAAATTGTACATACTACATATTTAACATTGATGAAAGTTACTATTGTTGGAAAAGAGGATTTTTATTATGGCCCTTCTTTTACCTTGTAGGGTAAATAGCTTGAAGCTACCTAATTAAGCAATAACATTTATTTCCTTGAACATGACATTAGTAATGTTATCTGTGTCCTTAATTATCATGACGAAAATATGTAAACAAGAAATACAAATAAATATACAAATATAAATAAATATACAAATCCAATGTGCGTGTTCGTAATTCTTCTCATTATAAGCGGTTTGACCGATTTTGATGATTTTTTTGTATATTTGTGAAGTCTAGCCATAGTTTGACCTGGTAGGTGATGTTGTTGCCGAGATCTGAATTCTTATTTAATTGTCAGCCTTCCAGCACTGTGGTAAGATAACGGCTGCATATCGGATCCTCTAGTTAAACTAAATTTTAATATATTATTATTCTAATTCAACGTACTATTTGAACAATATTTTTCTAGCCCGCATTGTGCACAGCGTGTAGGTGCAATGTCCTCACACGGACAAGCTCCATCACGGACGCAGCACGCACAGTCCTGCCCTTCCCCGCTTGGACAGGCGCAGCCAGATGACGACTGCGTCCATAAATCAACCTGACCTATACAAAGTAAACAATGTTTAACTGCCTCGTTGGTCTATTGTCTAGGATTTACGGTTGCAGGCCCATCCTTTATTTGGAGGTTCAGAGTTCATATACCGGAAGCAAAATTATTTGTTTTTTTTTTAAGATATTCGCAGTAACAGCTTGGCTCTTTGGCTTGCGCACACATTTATGCTGATCTCACTAAGACTGACTGAGGCCAAAATTGGTCAGAAAAACATTATACGAGTACAATATTATTACTCAAGCATTTCGACTTGCTCAATATTGATACTGATATCACCTAAAAATAACGAAATCGATAAATCAAAAAAGAAATTTAAGACGATAGATTGTCTACAACAAGCTTTTTAAGCTTATTTGAGAATATAATTCAAAAAAATTCTTTCTTTAAAACTCTCATTTCTTATGCATATCTCGAATTCCTGAAAATTAGCACCTATACATTTTTATATAGAAAAAAGTAAATACTTACTACTTCCATCAAGGAAGATTGGCGTCCACGCAATTTGTGCAGAAACAGCGGCGCACGCGGCGGTGATCAGTATTGCTACGGCTTGCATGGTGCGAGCAGAGTCACCGCGCACGCGCCGCCCTACTGCGTCGCTTTCTCATTTGCTCCCACCCTACTTTCTTATGGAGCTCCATATAATATACACAATTCCAAAATCTCGATTTTCATGATGGCACAAAAAATAAATTCAATTCTACACGTTTCTAATTTATCGAAGCTCTGTAATGAATATATTTGATCCTTTGTTTCTCTGATAATTTCTTTTTAGATCCCGCACAGAGTATTGTCTGTAACAAATTGTAATTGTTATCTTTAAGCAGTACATAAGTTATATACATTCTAAAACCTTTATATAAAGAGCAAATTGAGTAACTAAGCTTTTAATGAAGAAACTTTATATTAGAAAATATTGATTGTAGTTATTGTCAATTAAACTTTAGGTTACTTATTTCTTAGATCCATTCATTGTTTAATTAATAATATTTAATTGCTTGCAGTTGCGATCATGTTACTACATATCATATCATATCAAGACACGCTTTTTAACACTCACTATAGTTAGCTTTAGCAACAGTAAGAAAGTAATAACATTTCAAATAAATGACTATACCCGTGATCATGAAGTGCCAAAATATCGTGAACTCTTAGAAGTGCTAAACATGGTAAATATCCCGTTTACATCATAATAATTTTAAATACGAGTATATATCAAGAGATGGCGTTATATGTTATTGATGTTTGTGTTTTGTACTAGCCCCGAGTTTAGTTGGAACTTGGTGGTGTTTCACCCCCATATCTCGGAAAGCACGTAAAGCCGTAAATATTTAAATAAATAAATTTTTAAATAAATGTTAGGACATTAACACAAAGCACCATCTAGTTCCATGGTAAGCTACGAGGCTTGTGTTATGGATACCATATAGTTGATACACTACACATATATAACTTTAAATACATAAACATTATAAATATAAACACCCATGACTGGATTACAAACATCCGTGCTCATCACACAAATGAATGCCCCCAACGGGACTCGAACCCGCGACCGCTGGAACAGCAAGTAGGGTCACTACCAACTGAGCCAAACGTGTCGTCAAATCTCACCGGTCAAGCGATTGTCGTCCACCCGAGTATAAGAGTGCGAGGAATAAGGAGTGCACGTGTATACGCGCATAAATTATTGTACACTATAATATTCCCTGTGGTTATTTTTAGCGAGATTGGCTGCCGTGGTCTAAATCTGTCATGAGGGCATTATTATTAATATTATAAATGTCATTTGTACAAGAATTTCGTTATAACCAAGTCAAAAGTTTCAGTTTGTAGTTGTTTTATTCCAAAACGCAATGATTGAATCAAATATATTCTACAATAATTAAAATTGTTAATACTTTCAGAACCGTATTTTTCTTGTAAGCAAAATAAGTAGGTAATCTTAAAATAATATTCATTTTAAAACTGTAAATAAAACTCTAAGGGACAGAGATGGTTATGCACATGCATTCTGCACGATTTTATCATATTCTCAACAAAATCAATACTTACACTGGCTAAATTTAACAAAGCAATTCTAAAAGAATGGGTTCGACGATAGCTGACGGCATACAATCAAACGCTTATCAACCTCGTAGTTCCTTTGTTCACTGTTTACTTTTATTAGAGTCAACTCGTCAGGATGAAAATCGATACATTTTTTTAGCATTCACATAATTTAACATTCAACATTATTTATTATATTCGCCATTAACGAGAAACATAATCTTAAAAATAATTTGAGATATCTCAATCATTAAATTTGATAAAGTATTAAGAGAGAGATATAGCATATGACAAAAAAATAATTTTAGGAACTAATACATTTTATAACAATGTACCTTTAAGTGAATCGAATTTGTGTTAACACTACCAGAACTTACTATTTATAAGTTTTATTCTTTGGTTTGACTCAACTTCACTTACTACCACTTATTACTGGTTCATTAGCGTCCGGCAATCAAGCCAATCCGACAAGTCCGACAGTCAAGTATATATATATATATATATATATATATATATATATATATATATATATATATATATATATATATATATGTGTGTGTGTACGAGTATCTGCAATAACTTAGTGTAACTGTGTGACCGATATTGCAAGAAAATTGAAATAGCCGAAGCTCTAATACATAAATGTATCATATAGAGACACAACAATCTATTAAATTATACTTAGAAAAATCTAGTCGTTTTTCTTTAATTTGTAACATTAAAATTCTAAATGAAATTATACCAATAGACAGAATATTCTTTTGAAGGTATGAACTATATGTACATATATTATCTTTATTTAATATACCTAAAGTTATTAACGTTTGTTTTAGTTTTACACTAAGCAATATTTTTTTAATAAATTAAAAAAAACAACCAAAAACAAATTATATAAAATTTAATTTTAACCGCCACATTTTTTAGGAACAAACATTTAAAAAACTTCAAAAATTAACAACAATAATAATAACAATTTCCAGGAAGTGTCGGAGCAGCTCGCATGCAGTCCCCACACTGGGGACAAGAATGACACGAATGACAGCCTTCCGAGCACAAGTCATGCCTTTTTTTCTCAAAATGGTAGCAACAATTACCCTGATAAAGAAAAACGAAAAAAATATAGTGAGTAATATTTTTAGTTCGGAATAACTCTTAAGGCCCTGACAGCAGAAGCGCCATCTTTAGTAATAATATAGGGGGCCTTTACGTGTTGGATATGTCTCCCACGCAAGTCTTCCAAAGGACCGGGCTCCTTCGAGACCGTGAATTCTAAAGAAATTCAAATAAGAATTAATTAGTACTTTTGTATTATATTATTATACGTTCATATGGGCAATGCAATAATTTGTATTAAATTTATGTTCTATCCCACTCCATGGGCTTTGTACATGCTAATTTCATTACGAAATATTCATGGCTCTATAGATACAAATAAACAAATCAACCTTTTTACGGTCTCATTTATAACGTTATCAAAGGATTACGAGCAAGCGTCAAAGTAAAAGTAGCAGTTTCGATTTTCACTCAGGTAAATATTTCTATGACACAAGTAGGTACATTACGAGGGCAGCGAGTGGTCTTTTTGTATTTCTTGAACTTAGAAATAGAAGTAACTAGTAGGGGTCTCGTTTAAAGCAGTTTTCTTTTTATTTTGCTGCTGCATATACTTAACGGAGATTACTTCAACATTATTTTTTACTAGCATTGCCTGCGGCTCCACCCGCGTTCAGATGACCAAAAACCAAATTCTTAGGTTTTACATATTAGTATACTCTTAGAATGCAGTTATTGTATTTTTTCTCAGAAATGAGATATTTTCCCGTGGTAAAAAGTATCCTATATGTTGACCCGGATAACCAGCTATCATCATACCAAATTTCATCAAAGTCTATCCAATGGTTGTCTCGCGATGCGGTAACAGACAGACAGACAGACAGACAGAAATTCTAAAAACTATAGATTTGGACTCTGTATCGATAATAATGCCAATTTCAATAAGATTTTCCAAAAAATATTTAATGTACAGATTCGACTTAGTTACAATTTTATTATATGTATAGATTAGCATGCAGACTGATAAAAAGATCCCTAACAAAGTACCGTTTTATTTAAAGTAAATTAACGATATATTTACATAAGATGCAAAGTTTTCCAACTCGAATCACGTAAATTAATTAACTTTGTAATTAAAAATCCGAAGACGAAATTCTTGTCTCTCCGTTTTTCAGTCACTGCGCTTTCCTTTAATTATATTACTAAAATGAAATGTAAATCTCTTTTTGGTACTACTGTGTTAATCATATAATTTATGATTGCTATTATGTTATTTTTTTCAATATAACACTAACTTAATTTGATCTGATTGATCAATGTTAGAATCATCTAAAATAAAATATTGCTAAGTATGGGTGATGGGTGGGATATGATATCAACTAGGATAGAAAACAATGATTTACTCAATCATGAGGGTCGTATTTTGGCTCCAGCAGAAAATAAATCCATCTTAACCCTCGTTGAATTCGGGAAATAAACATTGCGGCCTGACAGGCGAACCGATCGATGTCAAAAACACTAAGCAACGAGGCCCTCCGAAACTTATAACGTCGAGTAATTTCGTGGAATAGCATTAATACCACGATAAAGATCCAATTAAAAATCTAATTTAAAATAATTCTATTTGCAAACACCTATTAATTCTTGAATAAAAATTAATTCTTGAGATTGTTTTGATATAAACTGATTTGTTTCTCTAAATTGTTGATAGCAATTAAATAGAATATACATATAAATCAGATTATGCTTATTATATGTTAATTATTAATTTATATTCAAATGTGGTACAATTTATTTGTATTTTATGATCTCACTCATCTATCTAGAATTCATTTTATACTTAAAGAAATATTAACAAAGATATTGAAATTAATTTCGCAGTTGGTAGTTCCTTTTTTAGTTTCTTTTTTTAAAGGTGAAGTGATTTTGTAATAAAATTGAAATTCTCTTCGGCGTCACCGATGGCGTGGCGTTTATTCGGCTTTTTGCTTTGACTTCGTCAGAGGATATTACGTGAGAATCAATTCAGGTGCCAGCCTGATATACCCTTCGTTGAATATTAATCTCTCAGAAAATGCTTTCTATTGGTATCCGGTCAATACTTAGAGAATGATGAAATATTATTAACATAAATATCAATAAAATATAATATGTTTTATATTTTTAAATAAACTAACTATAAGGTACCCGTTCATCTTCAGAGACGTATCGATGGACTTCTTGATCAGGATCTGCACTAAATGAGGACACGACAAACGGCTTTCGCCTAGGTCTAGCCCCAACAGCCACTTCACATGCTCGGCGCATCAGAGTTGTTGGTTGATTTACCTGTAACAAAATAAATGCAATTCATAATTTTGTTTTATTATATATATTTATCTCTTAAAAACCATTTTCATTATTTATTTTCTGTATTAAACTTACATATTGGTTTAAATTTCTGTTTTACATATTGTTCAGCCCTTTTTAATGTCCCATTGCTGGGCACGGGCCTCCCTTCAATACGAGGGGGCCATAGTCCACCACACTGGCCTATTGCGCGTTGGTGGACTTCACGTGTCAGACATGCAGGTTTCCTCATGTTATTTTTCTTCACCGTAAGACAAGTAGTAATCATGTTAGAAATGATTCGCACATGAAAATATCAGGGGTGCGAGACCCGGGATTTGAACCCGCTTCACTTGGTTTTCCAAGCGAACGATTTACCACTGGGCTATCACTGCTTTTTAAACGAATATAACAATTACAATATTCTCATTGTATAGTACGTTATAAGTATATTATTAATAAAAAAAATAAGAATTTTAACAAATAATAAACTCACTACCGTAACACGAGCATTGTTTATTCAATATTTTATATACCTATATTTAATTTACTTTCAGTCGTCTAGAACATCTTCTAATGCCACATCAATAGGCTTCTTTTTCAATAAGCAAGAATTGAATCCGTGATTGTCATATAGCGGCACTTTTACGGGGTCGTTAACTTTTATGCCGTAAGGTCTTATTTCACATTCAATGGATACATCGCGAGGGCAGCGCGTAAGAAAATTTGCTGCACCTAATAACTTTGAATGCTCTTGGTCTTGCATACCATTCCGTTTGAATGCCGAGACTGGTAATTTTCCAACCTGCAAATAACGCCTTGCTATAGTAACGTCTAAATTTTTTGATCCATTAGCTATCAATATTCCATTCGCAACGTTTTGTTCATTTATTAAATATATTTTAGGTGCTCGATAGTATATTATTTCATCATAAATCTCTAACTAAAGACAACCCTTTCGTACATTCATTACTCACTGCCATAAGATGTCTTTTATAGACAAAATTGATTAATTAAGCACAAACTGGGTCATCGCTTCTTTGAAACAATAGCAGGGAGCTTCTTCGTAGGCTTGACGGGTATAGCAAAGGGAGTGTTGCTCCAAATAGCATTTTTCCAACATTTACGTATGTAAGATATAGCACCACATTCCAAAAATTATTGATCTTGTAGTCCATTTCGTTTTAATGCACTGGATGGCAAAGTATTTATCTGAAGATTTTGCATTATTTAATATTTGACTTTAAAATTGTGAAATGCGCAGAAACAGATTATTATTTTTTACTTTTTCAATTTCTTTTTGAGAGGCAACATTTCCTGTGTAACTTTTGGATACAATCTGCGTATAGGTTCAACTGCCGTGTAAACACAACATCTATCTCTATCGACCCCAGCGCATATGTATCTTATTGCACCTCTGTAGCCGTGTATTTGATCTTGTATTCCATTCCTACTATATACTGATTTAGGAAGAGTGCCATGGCGAGTGGGAACATATCGTTCCTGAAACCAACGTTAAATAATACATCTGTAATACTGAAATCTAAAATAAAAAGATAATGTTGGTTTCAGGAAGTTTAAAATATCTAATCGTTATAGATATAACAAATTACACTAAAGTTCAACAATTAAAACTTACAATTCGACCATCTTCATACCGATAGCATGGTATAACGTACTTCGTCTTGACTGGTTTGCAAGGACTTTTACATGTTGGACAATATTCCTTTGGTAAATGAGCAGTTTGATATTTGGGACTCGTTGGGGACTGAAGTCGTTCGAAATGTTCACTGCAACTATTATGTGTAGATGTCGATATTCTTGGATATTTGCTTTGAGGTTTAGTTTCACAACAATCCGTTTGCTTTTTAGAGCATCGAGGTAAATATGGGCAGTAGGTGGCTGTTCCGAAACAACATGGATCAGGCTCGCTTGGAGAAATAAGTATCGGTGTAACGGCGTATTCCCCTATTTCATTAAAACAACAAGCCATATTTTTTTTTAATTTTTTTTTCAGTTTTTCTTATTTAAATTTTATTTTATTAAAGTATATTCACTAAAATTTTGTAGTTTACCTATTTTATTTTTTTATTACGAAAGTTATGTCATTTATTTAAATTAATTCTAAACTTATTTTTAAGTAAACTAAATATAATAATACAGCCAGTATTGTAAAATAAAAATATAAAAATAAGGAGAAAATAAATGTATTTTTTTTGTAATGGATATACTAAAGTATTATATAGTTTGAGACCCTGGGAAGGACGGAGTGAAAAGGGGGATAAAAGTTTGCATAGGGAAACAATCATTTCTCAAGTAAGATATATGAAATTTATCTACCTATGTATGTATGTATATATATATATATATACACACACATATATAAATATATATATATATATATATATATATATATATATATATATACACTAACGGCTCACTCTCGCTTCGCTCGGGTTCGCCTTTAGAAAACAAAAAACTTTATCCAATAGGAACCGTACATTTTTCGAAATAAAACCTATGTTTATTGTATATATGTTATTATAATACACTTTCATTAAAATCCATTCAGTAGTTTTTGCGTGAAAGATTAACGAACATCATCCTGGACATCCATACATCCTCACAAACTTTCATATTCATTAGTAGGATGTAGTCTATCTATTCCATATTAACCGTTAAAATGTAAATTCTATATAGTTAATGTATGCAGAGTTTACAAATTCGATATTGATTTTATTTTAATATTGCTTCTGAATGAATAAATTTATACATATTTATTAATAAATAATAACTACATGCAAGTACTATGAGTAATTTGTTATTTTGATAAATGTATTTTTTATACTATATTTTGTACTTTAGTTTTGCCATGGAAATGATTCAGGAGGTCTATAATAGAGTCTGCGCGGAAAGAGAATCGTCATAAGATTTGAGGGCGCAGCTTTGTTTAATTACCGTATTTGTTATGTTGACAACACTATACTGCGACTGTAACATCTTGATACTTTGAAACTATGTTAGAATGTAATGTTTTCAGATTCCGTCTTATTAATTGTTGTAAGAAATGATTTTAATGATAACTGTTAAGAATATTTCTGAATGGATGTCATGTGCATTTTAAATCACTTTTCTAAGTAGTGTTACGTTCAATGAGTTTGGGGATTGGAAATAAAGGAGGTATTCTGCACTATAGTTGTTTTGATGCTTTCGCTTAAAAATAGTGATTTATGACCATTCACAAACACACGCACGTCTTCCTTTACGTTTTTTCCCTGACGTGCACCGTATATGTCGTTATTTATGGAACTTTCTTTTTTTATTTTAGATACTGTATCTCTACTCAATCCTGAAAAAGTAAAAAAATATTTTAAGTTAAGACTAACTTTACTAACTCGCTTAGACAATCGCATTATAAATTAAAAGTATGAACACTCTTTATAACTGCTATCAAAAATATTGATTAAAACAAAATAAACAAATATTACCATATTTCTAAATCTTTTAATTTATACATATTTTGAAATGTCAAGGACCGCAGGTTACTTAGGAAATCTATAAACATTGAAATAAAACTGTTAAAACTGTTACCGGGCATATCTGCCACACGTTCCGTGACTTTATTTAGGTAAGTAGTGGTGTGTTTTGCTGCTTTTTCTCCATAGCAGAATTGTATAATATTAAATATTATTTCCCTTGTTGAACTGTGTAAAGTTTTACCCCCTTTTCGACATGATTTAAGAAATAAAAATCACAATAAAACAACACAATAAACACGAAATAAAGTTTGACATTTGACAGATGGCTAGATAGGGTAGCCATATAAAAATCATAATGTTAGTTCCATTTTATGCCACGACGGTTCTCTTTCCGCACAGACTATAATTGCTTCGCATTATCGTAGTTAAATTGACTTTTTTTTTTAATTTAGTGAAAATAATGTTGGAATCAAAGAAATAAGCACATAAACTAATAAGTTAACTACCGTTGGCCCGAGATCTTAGAGAGCGTTACAAAATTCCAAAGTAAAGCTTTAGGAAGCATTTGCAAACATTTGCAGGCGGCGCCTCCTTGTCGCTGCCGCGTCGAAAATGCAATTTTCTCAATGCAAATCGAACGCCTCAGACAGATTTAATGCCTTTTACTTGTCGTTTCTGCTCATCATTTCCGGAGAGAATTCAAGATAGCCACGTTTGTGGGAAAAGGAGGAAATTCGGAGAATTATCTTAGCGTCTAGACTTTGATGAATTTATAGATAAAACTATTTCCCTCGATTTTAACTTTGAAGTGGTAATCTATACCTACATATAATAAAATTGTGACTAGGCTTAATCTGTACATGAAATATTTTTTGGAAAATCTCATTGCCCACCTTTGCCCACATTGGTCTTTGTATTATCTGTGTTATTCTGTTAAAATGCAATAAAGAATATAATAATAATAATAATTGAAATAAACTTATTATCTTAGATAGATTGAGACAGAATTATTATCGACTAACGACTCACCCTCGCTTCGCTCGGGTTCGTCCCTAGGTACGTTTTAATTTTTTTGAGCGGAACGCTAATTCTTTTTCTAAAATAAAAGTTGCCTATGTGACTCTCATTACATTAGCTATCTTCCAATGAAAGTCCCGTCAAAATCAGTCCAGCCAGTTCGGAGATTATCCGGAACAAACAGACAGACAAAAATTTTAAAAATTGTGTTTTTCTCATAAGTACCGTATATAATTTCATATGCATTTAGTAAAATACTGTTATTTTAACATTACAGACACTTCTGTCTGTCTATCTGTCTGAGACCGCATCACGGAAAAACTACTGGAAGGATTTAGATGAAATTTGGTATGAAGGTAATTGATTATCCGGGTCAACATATAGGATACTTTTTACTGAGAAATTATACTAAACGTTAAAACGCAAACAGGGACGAACCCGAGCGAAGCGAGGGCGAGTCGCTAGTAATCTATAAATTGATACACATACATAATATGAAAGATGTTCAATACGATTATGATTAAGATTAGCTTCCTACATAATAGATAGTTACAAGTATGTGTGAGCAAGCACAGGTGCAATTTTCTCTTAAGATATCCCTCGCTGTAAATGCGAGTGGGAACTAAAAACATATTTTTATTTCTAAGAAAAATCACGTTGGGGAGGAGAGTCTTGAGTCTAACAAGTGGTATGTAAACTTTACGAATGCTCAATATAATTTCTTTTTCTTATAATTTGTAACAGGCAATACTGAGAATGAATGAGTTTTCCTTATTTGGTTTAGCCACATAGATTAAGCCCAAGATGTTTGTTGTACTTCGTTTCGTAAGTACGTCATATGTGTTTTATTGTTTCACTTAGGGCTAGTAAAAGGAAATCATTGTGAGGAACTGACACAGTGTTACTGTGTGTGTTAGTTTTTGAAGGAGGTGTAAAGCAATCCGTATTGGTCGGAGTGCAATATGGCCAGACAGTGGGATGTTAAACGGCTGAATTATAAATATTCGGTATAGATAAAAGTTATTTTTAAAATATAACTTCCGTACTAATCTTGTGAAAGTGTGTTTGTTTGTTTGTCCTTCTTTCACGTCGAAATAGAGTGACGGATTGATGTGTCTTTTTGTTGTGGAGACAGTTGGAGGACTTGAGAGTGACATAAGCTACTTTTTGCCGTGGGAGATTATCTTATTTCCACGAGAAAACAAGTTATAATACCACAATTCATCACACTCATGTTTATACATATTAATATTATAAATCTGAATGTTTGTGAGGATGTATGGATGGATGTTTGTTTCTCTTTCACGCCAGAACGGTTGAACAAATATGGATGAAATTTAGCACAGACATATGTTATAGTCTGGAATAGCACATAGGTTACTTTTTATCTCGTAAAAATGTACGGTTCCCGTGGGATAGGTTTGTTTTTGTCTCGGGACGAATTCGAAACGAAGCAGGGTGAGTCGCTAGTAATCAAATAAAAATGACAATATTAGATCAATAATTTTTGTTTTTTATTTAGACATTGGAGGGATAATTTATATTTAATAGTTGTATGGAGCAATCAGCATTTGTAAACAGATATTTTTAGGGGATGAAAAATATTAAAATAAAATGTTTTTGATTGAATAAATAGTTTTTTAAATTATTTTTAAAATGCTGTTATGCTGTTGTTACTGCGTAGTGCTCTAACAGCTCAATGGAATTAAGCGAAAGTCGAAATGGCAATAGTTTATATACTGAAAAATACGTAGATTATTTTTCGATGACGTACCTACTAAATGAGCGAAACCGTGTCTAGGAAGTAGTCTATAACTTTAGTTATTTCTATCAAATTATAATATATTATAAATTACTTATATAGTTAGTTAGATACGCCTTACGTTAGCTCAGGGACGAACAACACCCCAAGTGTAGGCATTTCAATGATGTTTGTAATGTATCAATATTTCACAGAAATCAATCACATGATTTTTGTAGGAAATTAATTATAATAATAGAGAAAGTTTAACAACGTTTATTGCCCGGTAATACTTTTTACAGTGACATGGAATATGACAAATTTTAAATAGAAAAATAAATAATAGGCACACAAGTTAACAAAGAGGTTGGAACTATTCATATATAAAATTACAATTAAATATTTTATGTTTACTATTCCAACATCCTCCCTTAAACATAAATCAACCCCATCTTGGAAGCACAATAATTCAATTTTGAATATGGCGTTGCTTTGGTGAGTGCATCAGCTACCATCATGTTTGTCTGTATGTACTTCACATCAATAACCCCTCCAATAACTTTATCACGTACATAGTGGTGCCTCACATCAATATGTTTAGTCCTTGGATGGTAGCCATCGGAACTTGAAAGTTTTATAGAACTCTGATTATCAGTATAGATGATCATTGCTTTATTCTTGAGCAAAGGCCAAAAACTTTCTTGAAGTTGTTTCAGCCACATAGCCTCTTGTACACATGAAGACAAAGACATATAC